AACGTAATGCAATGCAATGCAATGCAATGCAATGCAATGCAATGCAATGCAATGCAATGCAATGCAATGCAATGCAATGCAATGCAATGCAATGCAATGCAATGCAATGCAATGCAACGTAAGAGAGGTCTATGTTTACATATATATATATATATGTATACAAAGACGTTAGGTATATAATACATATATATATATATATATACATATAGATACATATATATATATATAGATACATACATATATATATATATATATATATACATATATATATATATATGTATATATCTTTCTCACATCTCTCTCGCCGAGCCCAATGGCCAATGCCAGACATGACAAACATTGTGTGCTCGACGTTCCGAGACTGTGAACTACAGCACCGTGCGGACAACTTAACGCAGAAGCTTCCGAACTGAGCTCAAAACAAGGCGATGGACACCACCTCAGACAAGAGAACCCTGCACACTGACAGGAGCAGACAATCAATATGCTTCTACCCATCCGGGCCTGGCGGATATTCATGGTCAATGCGAAGACCACAGCACCGAATTCGCGGATTTGCGAATAAATAAAGTATTGTGCCGCCACTGCCGACAAGCTCAGAAAAGAAGCATCTCTGAGGAATGCCTCAGAACACGCAAGGCCAAGAGCATCCACAAACCTTCACATTAGTGAAGCAGACGCACAACACACACACACACACACACAGAGACGGTGGCAGCAATTAAATGAACGGCTTTTTGGGCAGAGCTCTATGGGCCTCCTCTGCCCAGCTTTAGCTTAGAATCAACACACACACACATCGCCCATGAAACCGCAAATGACGGAATGATGCCAAAAGCGCATCAAAATTCAAACACACGCGACCGCTGATAGCCCTTTTTTGCGGGTTGCAGGGAGGGGAGGGTAGGAGAGGGGAGGGAAAACCCGCTCCCCATTTCCTCCCCTCCCTCCTCACCCGAGATCTTCAAATTTCAAGTTCAATTCGGTTCGCTGGAATCCTGATCCAGCACCTTGAGGCGGAGATTACAGCAATTAATCGTCCATCTGGGCTGCACTGGTTTTGATGCTGGACAGTCCTTGGCCGTAGCCTTGTTGAGTGCCTCGTGCCATTTCACAAATTCAACGTACTGTTCAGGGTCCAGCTGTGGCTCTTCTTCAGCCATGGAAAGTCGAGGACAACTTCAAATTCTAGTGAGCACACTACAAGAATCGGTGACAGTGCTATTCACTATTCACACCGCTTGCATGACGTGTTACCTGTATGTTCAGGTTTACAAATGTGCCTGGCTACGTTGCCTGCCTTGTCGTGTGGCAAGCTTGACAAAGGCGAAGTTAATCACTGGCTGAAGCAGATTTGAACATTGCTGAAGATCCCCCCTTCTCCTCTGCCTCTGCCAGATCTCTTGATGAAAACTTCGGTCTAAGCAGAATGTCTTTACCACGCAATGAAATATAGCAATAGGAGATTGGCGCTGCATTGCCTGAATGATTCGGACTGGAATCCCCAAGAAGGCACTTTCGTTTTAGTTGAGCATGCAGCTTCACGAGCAGGCCAAAGACTTTGCGGTCAGCCATTTGCTTTTCGGGTGAAGACAGTCTTCCCCCCATTGTCTCACACAGCCACAGACCAGACGCCGAAAACCCCGTGTTGCAACAGATGGCTGAAAGCCGAAGCACCGCATGCCGCGAGAAGCTGAGGGCGGGCATGAACTCACCGGAAACGACCTGCGGTCGTCGTCGCTTCCGAAGCCACAGATGGGATGGGATGGGAGGAAGAAGATCTGAGGAGCTGAGGGCCAGCGCCAGCGCAGCAGCTGAAGTCGTGGAGGAGAGCAAATTCACGTACAAGATCTGGTTCCACTTGGAAGTCTCGTAATCCTTCCAAGACCCTCCATGCCCATGGGACTCGCATACCTTCAGCAGAGAAACTCGCATCTCCTTGAAGAGCTTCTCCTCCATGACAGAGGTCAGACCATCGAAGGTTAAGAAACCAGAAAGCAGAACCAGGCCAGCCAGAGTACTGGAGCCGGACCCCTCGGACATCCATCGAGTCCATCGAGGCACAGCCATGACGGCTTTGTAAACAAATCTTCAGCCAAGACTCGTCGCGCGTTGGCCCAGGCCCATGCGGTCCAGAGATCAAGAAGGTTGTAATGCCAGCCGTGACAAGGGCTGCAAGGAGCCAGTCGGTCAAGCTGTACCTCAGTTAACAAGAATCATAGGATACTTTCTTTAAATCGATAGCTCCTTGGGCATTCATCTGGCGTCGCCGAGTCGCCGCTTACCACTCACCACCATTCCCCACATCATCACCGGGATTGTCTTGAAAGACTTTCCCAGCATCCTCAGCCACACAAAACATTGACAGAGCCGAACAACCTCATAAACTCTCGCCATCCCGGTGCCGTCACGCAGCTGGACCACGAAAGACACGTGCTTGAGGGCTTCATACTGGCAAGTGCTGGCAATGACGTTGCTCAGGGAAACGATCCTCGATGACGCGCACAGGCAGCATGCAGGTCCAGTCTGCTGGTGCAGAAAAGTCTGAGCACATGCGGTGCCCAAGCTTCAAATATAAACGCAGTGGAGCATTGTTGGCAAGGCTCTCCTGCAAGTGTTTACGGCGCAATGCGTCCGATCTCAGTATGTGTCAATGTCCTGGTGCATGCTGGCCAGGACGGAGGCAAACACCACCGCCACCAATCGGTTGCACAAGACAAGAAAGACTGAGTGACGAAACCTCGATACAGACGACAGCTCTCAACTGAATCTCACAATCTCGATTTGCGCATCCACACCACTGAACTCTGCGCAGGAGGCATCTCGTCGTCATAGCGAACCGTCATGATTCGCTCCTGCATCGCCACTATCGTCAGCCAAAATGCAACACCCCTCAGACCTACAACAGTCACAGCACGGTCCTGCAGGATGCCATACACGGCAAGCATTCCCACGATGCCACATCTGCAAGGCTGCTGTGATTTGCGAGCAACATAGGCTCAGTCTAAAGTGAAGACATATCTGGGAAGACGACCCGTAGAAAGCCAGCATAAACACATCTCGAGTTTGAGAGATTGTGCTTCTCACCCACTTCCATGGCAGGAGCATCTGACGGGACGCAAGCAGCGAAAGCTACATTGAGCCAGATGTGCTGGAAAGATACGTTGAAGGCCAAGAAAATCTCCATTGCGACTTTCCTTCCGACGTGGGTCCCTAGAAATCTGTACAATCAAAATGAGCTTCGGGCTTTGCACGTTGAGCACCTCGACTCTGCCTGTCACAACTTCTTGCCCACGGGCTACACTCCTCGGGATAGAGACAACACGACGCGCCACCGGCCTGGCGCCCACAATTTGCGCACGTACCCTGCATGGTTCAGGCCTGCAGCAAAGTTGTGTGCCTTGCCACGTCCGGATGATGGTCAGGGCATGTCAGGGCCCAGGCCGAGCGCATAGAACGAGCATCCCTTGCAGCACCGTCGGCCGGGCACCGAGATCCATTTGCAAACGTCTGCGGATCGAAACCCACTTCTGTCACGGGCTGTCCTGTCATGCACTGAACTGCATTCTCCGAAGCATGTTCGCATCGCGCTTTTGCAAACTGCGTCAAGCACACTCTGACACAGCATCGGCTAAAAGTTTGTGTCCCTGCAATAGCTACACAATAATTTCGAAGAGCAAGTTATGAAAATATAGGGAAATAGCTTCAGGACAATGCGGCCAGACGTGTCAAAATCGCCTACCACAAACTAACGGTCTGATGCAGCGACAGTAGTCATTGCAGACTTTTCACAGAGGTCTCTGAAAGGACCGAAATATACACATGCACTGGAGACTCATTGGAGGCATGCAGCTCCTTTGCTACATGCAGTATGCACAGGAAATGTCGCTGAGGGCACCCTCACTGCTAACAAAAATTCCTTGGACAGATCACGGAACTTTGTCGCAATGCTAACCTCGCTAGGCCTCTCCGGAGCCACTGAGCCCGAGGCTCGCTAGGATGCCTTCCAGCGACTGGCCTTCGGCTTCAGTCGCAAGATGCAGCGAGAACTCTGCACTCTGCAGTTCCAACATGTCTGTTTAAATTTTCTTGGCTTTCGAGGCCGACCAAGGAGGCACCGGACGACCGCACCTTCCTTTGCAGCGCCTTCCACTCCGACTGCGTCCATTCGTCCCAGGCTGGGGCCCAGTGACCTTTGCACGGCCACGAATCGACGAAGGCCTCACGCGAGGTACAACTGAGGCATTGGCCATTAGAGTTCCAGGACCACTCTGACCATTCATCATTGTGACCATGACCTGGATCGGCCCAGAATCTTGTGGCTGTGGGGACAAAACAACAGAACATCCAGACGCCTTTGCTTGCCTTGCCTTTTCCTGAGGCAGGTCAGGAGCGACGAAAACCCAGCTGTTTGCCAGTGATGGGTCCTGTTTCACCTTTCGCTGGTGGCAGGTCTCCTCCCACTCCCACTCCGACAACATAGAAACGACTGCAACCCATCCCAGAACTGCCTTTCATCATGGCTTTGCCACGTCGACCTTCGCCTGCCAGTTTGTATTTCTTCAAGTGTGCAGAGAGCAGATTTGTCGGGATGCTCAGCCTCCACCACGGCCCTTGGCCTGTTGCTTGTTCAGTGGCATACTGTATCGTACCTCATCTGCAGAACGGACATCCGGCCTCTTTGCCCTTAGCTTGACCCTTGGATCTTTCTGCGTGGCCTCAGGTGCTTGCTGCAACTTAAGTTGTCTGTTGGATCAAACCAGCATCGGGTGCTGGCCAGCATCGTTGCCACCTACGTGCCCGCAGCTTCAGAACACGCTCTTTCACACAAGCGTTTCCCGAGCCCTGGGCCACCAGCAGCAGGTTCCTTCATGCCAGAAAAATCAGAGCATCTCGCAAGCTCTGAGCGCTCCAACATGTCACGCCGTGCCTGCTTTGGAGGCTGCCACTTCTCCCCGTCTCGGTCCAAGAGGTACACGATCCGGCCCTGCAGTCGTCGAAGAAACACGACTTGGCACGCCTTGCACGATCTCACCTGGCCTCAAGCTTGAAGGTTCTTGGATTTGACCGCAGGAAAACCTCCAACGACATGCCAGTCTTCTCCTCCGCAGTTTTGAGGGCACATCAGAAAGCCACTGCAACTGCCTATGGGGCCTTGAAAGACTTCAGGGCTTTTGCCAACTGGTTCAAGCTACAGCAGCCGTTGAGGCGCTTCAGGACGTAGGATATGTTGATCACCTTCCCAATCAGGAAGCACGGAAGCACATACAAAACGCCAAGAGACTCGCGTGCATGTCAAGCGACCAGTGCGGTTCTCGGCACGTTGACGTCAAGGACCTTAGATGAACCGAATCGTCTTCTTGCAAGTACCCTCACACATTCACACATCGAGAACTCCGTGTATCTATGATGTTGCCTGCCACACTACATGTGGCACGCAACATCATAATTATCAATAGATTAATGATTGCGCAGCTAACTTGCTTTCCAAGCTGATGCACTGTCATAGCAAACTCGCTGATGACTTTGTAGCTCAGTTCACTTGCTCCATGACAGTTTAATCTGCACACGTCTAGTTCCTTCTTGTCTTTAACTCCGGGAACTCATAACTTAAAACCTGTAAAGCGTCAAGATCTGTGCGAAATGCTCGACCTGTTGACTATGTTGCAAATTAAGCAAGTGCCAGCCATCAAAGCACGGAGTTGACCTTCGCCGCAAAAGCAAAGAATGCGAACTGCCAAGTATGACGGCAACGCTAATTATCAGGCTTTACAAGCTGATGCAGCTGTCATGGCAGACTCGATGATGCATTTGTAGCTCAGCTCGACTGTTCCATGGTACTTGAAAACACGGAACATGTCAAGGCTTTCACAGTATCGTTGAAATGTTTGTGCAAAGATGCACATCATGAGGCCAAACTGGAGCAAAGGAGTGCAGCAGGGTCCACGGAGGCACAGCAGGCAGTGCTCAGTCAAAGTAGCGGTGCTAGGATCCCATGAGCGTCAACTGCCCATCAACAAGATGCTTTTCTGCCGTCTAGTTGCGCTCAAAACCGACTGGTGTAGTTCAGCTTTCGTACACAGGCCCTGCATGTTTTACGACTTCGTGAGTAGGAATGACCGATATTGTGCGTAAAGCTGGCATTTGCAGCACACGTATCGCAGTTGAACAAGGTCTTGACAGGACGAGTCAGGCACGGTCCAGAGCAACGGTCAGACAAGTGAAACAGCATGATGGCACACGCTGCCTTTAATGTAGGATTCTTGCCTTTAAGGTTACGGATGAGGTCTTAGGAGAACAAGATTAAGCAGAATAGCAAGTACCTTCTGATGATTTTCGACGTGGCTTTAGACCGCTGCACGATTGCCTTCTTAGCGGACACCAGCACAGCGTGGTGCACAGAGCTCGGTGTGAACTGCACTGTCGCCGAATACGCAATGAACCTCTTCAATACTCTGTTAGTGGATTCTGTGCCATGTCCGATACAGCAGTAGCCTTTGTGAGTGAGTTCCACTGCTGACCGAAACTCATGCTGCCGTCTTCGAGATCGGTTCTGTCCAGTGGGCATTGGTTGAGATTTTGGCCTCGTGGATCAGATGCGCAACGTCATTGTCTATTCTGGCGACCCCAAACCCTGGACCTTGGGACGAAAACCTATAAAGGTGCCCTCATCGCCGATACGGCTGCTCCATGAATGGTGCAGCCTGGGACCTTTCTTCTGCGTCCAACCTTCATCTAGAAATCTACAGCTGATCAGAAGGCGAGTATACACTTCTGGGAAGGCCACCCCAACTTCCTCTGCCGCAGCGTCCTCGAAAGGAGTCGAGCTATCTTGACTCTGCCACACGAGCAGCAGTTTATGTGGAACAATCCATTCACCCCAACGAGGCCTCCTCGTCCAAATCGTTCTGATCAGCCCACAAACTGCAGGACGGGACAGCACTCCAAGCTGTTGATCCCGACAGCTTCATGCCTGGTGAGCTCCTTCTCTCGCAGAGCCATGTGTTCCGGGGCATGATCCTTCATATTGTCACCGCAGAACAAGAACCAAAGAGGCGGGAACTCACCAGTGCTCCTCGTCTCGTTCGATGAAGATCGCACGGCCTGGCCACGTGTCGGTCTGGCACTGGTACAACCACGGTAACTTGGCCGTCTGGCGATTCAAACACTGATCTCAAAACCTCGCTTCTTGCAACTCATTTCCTGAACCTGCACCATCGGATCCCGAGCAACGACGTTTCGAGGCACCGGCATACTCGTAGCAAGGCTCTGTTGCCAGGAAGGGCAAGGCGGTGGCACCGCGCGCCCGGTGCGGCCGTATTGAACTCTTTGTAGTAGAGCGGAAGGCTTACTGAATCTTATTCGATGCAGCTACACGAAGACAGCATCAAATCCGACTTCGGCGGGTGCGAAGCCAAAATCAGAATCGGCCTGCAGATAGTTCGTCTGGCGCCGGCGCTTCGAACCATCCGTCCTTAACGCCATGGTTCCCAGCAAGACTCAACCCTCACACAGTGCGCATCACCCGTGCCTTGACATCCCTGGCTTTCTCAAACTCCGCTATCTCCTCGCTGGCTGGGCCATGAGCTCAATTAGAAGCAAATTGTGGAGGCCTCATCGTCTTCGTCTTCCCTCTCCAGGGGCTTGTCTAGGTCTTTGAAATCGATGACGGCCCTCAAGAAATTGAGCTGCCGTTGCTTCCGACGTCGCGCATCGCACGCGCATGTGGACGAAACAAAAAGCGCACCAGTCTGGTCTGGTATCATCCCTCTTCTTGGCACTTTCCTCCTGCACGGATAGGGACCAAACTCCTCATGCAACGTGCAGAAACTTCTGAGGATCTCCTCGGCTCGTTTCTTAGCGTCTTCCTCCAGCTGATTCCATGCAGCACCCTGCAAATTTCAACAATTCGAATGACACCCTTGAGTCACGCGGATGCAAAGAGCCTTGCGCGCATTAACTGAAGAAGCCGCTGGTGCTTTACCAAGAGATACCAATCCTGCAAAAAAACTGGACATTCAACGCAGTGCCAAGATATCCAGCTGTGATGAGTGTGAGATGGCTTCGATTTGTGATCCTTTCGGCTTGGCAACTGGCTTGACAACGCCCCCGGATCGTACCTGCCATCATCAGAGCAACGATTTTGCCTCCAGTTGCAATGCCTTCGACGGGTCACGGCAGGACCGTAGTTCGCCTATCAACCAAAACAAGTCAGGTAGAAGGCGCATATCACCTTGTTTCAGTGCAGTATGTGCCTTTGCAACTTCTTTTGGAGCTCCGAGGAGGGTGTTGAGATTGCTGGCGCCAGAAGCTCTCAACGCTGCACTGACCCAAATGATTGAAGCGAATCCTGCCTATTTGCAAACTTTTTCCGGTTGCCAGCCGAGGCCATGCACGAGCGGCAAGCACGCCTTGTGCCAGAATGACTAACTCGCAAGAACCAATACCGTACCCTTTCTTCTGCACAACCCCTATGCACATAGAAGTGACTTTGTATATTTGCTACAAACATTCACAGGAGTCGTGTACTTAATCTTACCTGCAAGACTGTACGAAAACCCATGCATACATGTACACATACACATCTAAAGCAATCCGCACCAAAAACGTCCAAGCCTATCAGCATGTTTATGCCAGTAGATGCATGTACGAAAATATCAGGCAACCAGCATCAACATCAATCAACGTACGTATCTCTTCCTGATCTGCTGCTTTATGTATCCGTGCCATACTTGCCGTGGTTACGCAACCCGCTTAATGGTCGAACCAGCTCAGAGCTCACATGTCAAAGACAACAAGCCACGGTGTTCTGTTTTGGCTGCAAACCCATCAAGCATGCATCATCCAATGTCAAATTGCACGAAAGCTCAAAATAATACTGTAACCACACCTCATTTGCGAAAATCAGAAGGAATGATCGGTGATCGCGAGGAAGAAAGCCATGCAGATTCAAAGTGATTGTGCGTGCAAATCTGGTCGCGACATGTTGCCCGCCTCACCTTGAGAATGATGACAATATTGTTGTTGTAGTTCCGAGATGCAGCACGCAATTTCACGTAGTCAGGTTCCGTCATGGCAAGCAAGAGAAAACTTTGACGACATGGCTTTACTGAAGGGAAACAGAACTACTCTTGTCTTAGTTTATATTTTGGTATTGAACCACAGGCACTGCGTGTACGCGGAGCTTGCAAAGGATAGTCTACCACGTGACCCGGGAACCGGAGTCATGGGTGCTGGTTTGTACCATGTGTATCTCATAGCTCTTAGATGATGTGCAATCGGCAATCTTTCGAACTGGCAATACTTCGCCGTCCGTTCACACCCCCCAATGTGCTGTGCCTTCGGCTCTACACACAAGCTGGAAGATAGTCGCGATTGAAATGAAAGGTTCTGACGGATGAAACGGTGTTGAGTTAGCTGGCTGCTGCTGTGGCCCAGAGAGAAACAAAGTATGTCAAAGCCCCAGACTTCTTCAATCCCAAGACGATTGAGGAAGAAGCGAGCCTGTGGCAAGAATCCACTTCAAAAACTTCATGACGGTTCAAGATGATGCTTATCGCAAGGTTTTCGAGAAGTGTGTCTCTGCCACCAGCTTCGCTGTCTTTGAGGATTATAAGGCGGCTGTGCTGGCCAGCTAGCTTCAAGGAAGACCGTTGAAGCTGCTGAAAGCAACAGCGTGGCATGCTTCGTTCCCATGTACGTTTTAGGAGCCCTTTCGAATCTTCGCACGTGCGGCACTGACTCTACTAGTTGAGTTTGCTCGAGACGTCCTTCGCGTTCCTAGTTCTAGTTCTTGCGATGCTGCCTTCCAGCCCGGCTAGAATCTAGAATCCAGAACATTTATAAGCCCACTGGTCATCTTAAATGACCTTTCCGCTTTGTCTAAACGCACGCAATGCAGCCTATCCCGATGTTTGACCCTGGCAGCGGCATTGAAAAGGCTTTATGGCATACAGGGGGGGTTGGGCAAGGGGTTCGAATGTACTGTTTTGAACAAACCTGAAAAATCGCTGAAACAAGTCAAAGTGGGTCGGTTTGGGACACTAAAGAATCTAACATCCTCATTATTTTATTCCAAATGTAAAAATCCTCATGCGAGCCATGTGCATCAAAAAACGACGTCGAATATAAAGTGAACTCAGCAATATCGAATATCCAATTTTTCGGAACCACAATGCGCACACGGAAGCACTCTTCGGACACTTTGTTGATTTCCTCCGAAAAGGGCATGGGGGTCGAAAGTTGATGCGAGGAGGCATGTTCTCCTTCGATCGATGTCGTGCAGATGAAGAACACGAGGCTGCATGAGCAGCACCAGGTCAAATGCATACGCACCCGTCATGTCCCCTCTTCAAAATGCATGTCTCTGCGAAGGTGCGCCGCTGTAAACAGTTCTTCAAAGAACTGCTCCTTTTTCTGTCCCAAAAATCAGCATGCACCAACATGCAGTGTATATCAAACTCACATGTTGCAAATCATTATCTGAGTATCTTATAAATTCACCAATATCGCGGGAAATCCAATCAATCGTATTTCATGTTGAAATACTCGACAACACACGCTCGCACGACTTCTTCTTTTTTCCAATAGCGGCATACGAAGTCAAGGGGTGATTAATTCGTGAATTCGCACGCCGCTCACGCGGACATGCGCACTGAGTGCACACATGTGGGGCATCAAAACGCTCCATCTCCGCTTACTGTTTCTCGGAGCACATCACCCCTGCTTTTGCCACTCGTGCGACACTTTGACAAGTCAAGTGGAATCTTAAGTCCCCACTCTGGTTTTGAAATTCCCTTCGATGGCAAATCGGCCAGGTTTGAAGTTGTATTCACGCGCTCGAACCACGGATTGATGAAGAAGTCGTCCAGGAGGCCGTGTGTCGCCGCAACAATGCGGCTACCTGAATCGTTCTCGCTTCTGCCATTGATCATGGAGTGCAAAGCGCCCTCATTGTCAGTGAAAACAATCAGGCGACAATGCTTGAAGAGCTGAGCCCACGTACGCACTCCACACCAAATTGCAAAACACTCAAGCTCGAAGATTGGGTTCTCGCTCTCAATGGTTCTCAAGTCCTCAAGCGTTGCTTTGTCAAGATACTCGCTGAAGTGAGCGATGTGTGACCCCGTCTCTGAAATAAAGATGCCACCAATGCCAGCTCGTGAGTCATCATTGGAAGCATCGACATAGAGATGCCAAGTGAAGCACGATCGGTCAGCTATGCAGCGCGCTGGCGCATAAGCAACGTGACTCGTGACTCTTAAGGGAAACCAGGGCATCTAGGGTACTGGGACCTAACTTACCGCCCCCTTTCGCCACGTGTTTGGAAGGCCAAACCAGCTTTCTTCCCACAAAATCTGCTGCTCCGCAAGCTGTAATCCGCCTCGTAATCGCTCACCGTCTTTACGACTCAAGAAAGCCGACTGTTCTAAACATTGTATCTCTAGCAACTCGCTGCACGAAATTGGAACTCTCGTGTAGTTTACCAAACATGCTTAACTCAAAAGAGCAGACTCACATTTTTTGGCGGGAAAGACGCACAACATCCAAAGTCAGGTATCGAGAACCGAGTAGAAGGATGCTGTGTGTGAAAGCAACCAACGCTCGCTGCACAAGCCGCAGGCTTCACAAAATATTTGAGGCTCAACCTGCCAGACATGCAAGCATCATCAGAAAAGGAAGCAAGGATAAAAGGCTCGTGAATAGAGTAAACGACCGATGATGCACTGTACACCGGCACTTCTGCAAGCACCACCTCAAGGGCGGGAGGGATGGGTGTTGCATTTCAAAATGCAGTGTCCCCCCTTTTCGAGCAGCTTCGCGGCTAGAGATATACAAGCAACATTCTCAAAGACGGAACACGGTGGCATAGAAAACAATGCTAAAACAAACTGAGCACGCACAGTACTAGTTCTAAACATTGTCCCTCTAGCCACTCGCTGCACGAAACTGGAACTCTCGTGTAGTTTACCAAACATGCTTAACTTAACTCAAAAGAGCAGACTCACATCTTTTGGCGGGAAAGACGCAACCGAGTAGAAGGATGCTGTGTGCGAAAACTACCAAAACTAAGAACCCGCCAAAGTGAGAGTCTGGCTCCCAGCAACGCCAACACCATCACAGAAACGTGAGACAGGCTCGAGCAACTGAGAGCGCCTAGCGCTCTCACTTTGCAAGCAGCAACTACACTACACTCAACACGCACTGCCACAGAGGCTGTGCCCGTGCGCACGCACGTGACTGCAGACAGCCTAATCTTGTTTTGTTTCCCGGGCACACATGGTGACCAACCACATCCATCGGGGGAAGCAAAGCAACCGCGCGCCGATGGCAGTTTGGCCCATGTACCCTGGCACCATCAAGCGAACCCACAAACACCCGGCTGGAAAACCCGAGGCCTCTATCTGATATCTACGGGGGAAGCCGAAGCGACCACGCACCGCAGACGTTCCACGGGAGCCGAATGAAAGTAAGTGCAGTGCCATCAGCGAAAGAAAACAAGTCGCAAGCCAAGCAGCTAAGACGCATCTGGCAAGGTAGACAATGGCGGTTGCCGCAGCAACTTGGCCTGCGGAGGCCACAGTCGTACATCACTGGCATGATCCCACAAGCGTTGCAAGGGACAGCGAAGCCGCATGACCGCCAGGAACTCTGCAGGCAATTCCGACACAGAA